CGAGGATCCTGGCAGGCTGGAAGACTAGAGGAAGGGGATCATATGTGACTAGGCCCTGGAGAGGTGCTTCCTTTTCTCTGTCTCTGGTGCATGTGCAAGTGCTCTGTCATAAATAAAAAATGACAAAATAAAAATCGGAATAATTCAAATATGCCTCAGCCAAGGAACAAACTGGGGTACACCCATACAGTGGAATACTACTGAGCAATTAAAAAAATTAAAACACGCAATAGATGGATTGTGAACTGGATTACGCTGTGAGGAAGAAGCCAAACTCAGTCTTTTTGATTCTTCACATGATATTCTGGGAGAGGCAGAACGCAGACCAGGATCATCGGGGCTTGAGGGCAGGGGGAAGGGCTAACTACACCCGTGCATAAGGAACTTGGAGAATGCTGGAATTGCTCTATATCTTGGTTTTATTTTTTTAGAGATTTTTGCTACAGGGCGCATGTGCTCGCCAGAAAGAAGAGAGAGACAGAGAGATAGAAAGCGAGAAATCACCCCCCAGGGGGGATGGCCACACCGCAATCCCTTCTCCTCCATTCTCTTCTAAGGATCTTGGGCACGCACGCACACGCACCCGGGGTGAGTTTAAGCCACCAGGTCTGGGACTCAAACCGTGGTCGGCTACGTGGGAGTTCAGTGACATAGCCATTATGCTAACTGCTGGTCCCCCCTATATCTTGTTATGATGGTTGTTACATGACTTGAAATGTCTGTCAAAACTTGTAGAAATATACTTTAAAAGGGTGAACTTTATTTTACATGAATTATACCTTAAGAGCTGGCTACACAGCCCAGTAGTCAAAGGAGCTGAATTCCACATGGCCAACCAAGGTCTGAGTCCCAGCCCCAGCAGCTTAGAAAACTCACTGGGCACATGTGCATGTGTGTACAAAAATCCCAGCAGGATGGACAGACGGAGGAGAAGGGACTGTGGCACAACAGTGCCCTATTAAGAGGTGCTTTCTCCCTCTTCCTCTGCCTCTCTCTTTCTCAGTCAATATTAAATAAATAAATAAAACCTTGACTTAGAAAAAGACAAAACAAAGTTGGGTTTTAGAAACTGGTCTCATTGGGCGGCTAGATCCTACAAGGCCAACTCCACAGTTCGAGTCCTGGACCTGGCAGCTTGAAAATCATCCCAGGGGCATGTGCATGCGTGCCCAAAAATCCCAAGAGGAAAATGGAAGGAAAGAGATTGCAGAGTGGCCATTGCCCCTGGGGGGGGCGATCTCTCTCTCTGTCCCTATCTCTCTCAAGCAAGCACATCTGCCCTAAAGCAAAATAAAATAATGAAATAAATTAAATCTGCCTCATTCTCTAAAACAAACAAAAAGGAAATATATTTCATTCAATAGAGTACAGAATACAAACTCAGTATCATAAAAACTCCCTACCTACATAAAATGAATAGGATGGTATAATACAAAGTTAATCCTCATGTTCAAAACTGGTCAAATTAAAGTTTAACTGTAAATCACATGCAGTTGGCCACAGCTCTATGACCACTCCCCTTCATTTTCAGCAAAAAACATGTCTTCTCGACACTATTCCAACAGCCTCCTAAGCACTGCTGGCCTCTGGTCTCTCCACCATTGAACTTGAAATAAAGCCAGGCTGATCTCCCTAATGTGTTACACAATCACATGATCTCTGGCCAAAACCCATACTCTGTGGGTAAATTCCAAACTCCTGAGCATAGCATTTGAACCATGACCCAGTCCACCTCCACAGTAGTGACTCTACCTAGGCACACACAAAAACCACCTACCCTTCACCAACACAGCACTACTCATTAAAGCTGCTTGTATCTTTAAATCGCTACATCCATGTATAGGCCTGGAATGTCCTTCCTCTACACTTCTGCTAGTCATCCCAGTTCAAATGTACCTTCTTCACAGTCACTTCTTCCTCAGAGCTTCTACAGCATTTTAGGAAAAAACTATGTCTGCTTTCCCCACATACTTAGAGGACCATACTTAGGGGCCCTAAGCATGTAGCAGTTGCTCTATTGATGTTTAGCTAAATGAGTAACTAAGCACATTAGATTACGTGCAATGGGCAGCTAAAAATTACTTCGCTTAAAACCAAGCCACAATCACATTTTTAAACTATGTACCACCAGAGTTAAAATTATTTTTCCTTTTTCCTTTTAGAATAAGTTATGTTCTATCATTAAACCTATCGATAATATGTGAAATATTTCAAACTGATTTCTTATTAGCCATTAATATATCATTTGGATTTTTTTCATACTTGAGCCTTCCCAGAAATATCAACCCTGGTTAATGTAAACAATTCTTCCTAATTATTTAGCCTCTTGAAAATAAAAGAACTATGAATATTCTACATTTAAAATCCAATCTGGGGGATGCCAGCAGGTTGTGTGGTAGTTCAGGGCACTTGACTCCCACATGGCCAACTGTGGTTCGAGACCCAGACCTGGTGGTGTGTTATCTCACTTTCCTTTTTTCTCTCTCTCTCACTCTGTTCTTGTCTGGTCAAATTAAAGATAAATAAATTTAAATAAAATAATTCCTTTAAATAAATAAAATAAAATAAAATCTGGGGCCAACTAGTGGTGTAGTAGTTAAGGCAGCTGGAACCCACATGGTCAGCTGTGTAGTTCAAGTCCCAGACTGGTACGCTTAGAAAATACACTGGGTGTGTGGGGTTGGCAGGTGGCATGGTGATTGAGGGTGCTGGACTCCCACATGGCCGACCGTGGTTCAAATCCATAACTGGTGGCTTGCTTTCTCACTTTCCCCCTCTCTCTCTCTCACTCTCACTTTGTCCCTCTCTGGTCAAATTAAAATAAATAAATAAAGATAAATAAAACATTTCCTAAAAAAAAAAAAAAGAGAGAAAGAAAAAGAAAGAAAGAAAGAAAATACACCAGGTGTGTATGCATGCATGCCCAAAACCCTGAGAGGAGAAAGGATGTGTAGGGATTACAACAGAGTCATCTCTACCTCCCCCACCGGGTGCTTTCTCACTTTTCTCATCTCTCTCTTTCTGTGTCTCTCTCTGGTAAGCACAAGTATTCTACAGCAAATTAAACAACAGAAAAAATCTAATCTATTGCCCAAAATTCGTAACTTTGTACTCTGAGCAAATTAGATAGCTATAGTCACATTCTGACTATGGTAGCACTTTATAGTTTTGCTTTTACTAAGGGTTTTCAACTCCAAATATGAACTAAATGGGATTCCAGAGGTCACTGAAGAACCTATGAGCCAGATTTAGAAAGAAATTTCTATTTGATTCCATTCAATCAACATCCACTTATTAAGAGAAAAAGATCCTAGGGGCAGAATAAGTAAGTCTCGGTCTCGGGTTGCAAGGATTTCGTACATAAAGGGAGTAAAAATAAGCTAGACACACTGCAACCAATCAAAACCAGACTGGGCCGGCAAGTGGCGTGGTGGTTAGAGGCGGTGGACTCCCCATGGCAGACTACGGTTCGAGTCTCAGATCTGGCACCTTGCTTTCTCATTCACCCCCACCCTTCTCTCTCTCTCTATCTCTCTATCTTTCTCTGGTCAAATTAAAGTAAATAAATAAATAAATTTAAATCAAAGAATTCTTTAAAAAAAATTAAAAAAAAAAAAAACTGGACAAGACCCAAGAGGTACAAAGTATTGTGGGTATTTAAAGAGATGATACTTAAGATGGGCCTTAAAAGAGGAATTTTTACAACAAAAAATGATAGTCTGGGCAAAGAAAGAAAACAGCAAGAACACCTAAGAGTTTATGAAAGGAAAGAATATAATAGATTCTGGGATCAGCAGTTGGCGTAATGGCTATGTCACTGGACTCCCATGTAGTAGACCGTGGTTTGAATCCTGGTCCCAGTGGCTTAAACTCATGCCAGGCACGTGTGAGTGCGTGCCCAAGATCCCAAGATTTCTTGCTTTCTGTCTCTCTCTGTCTTTCTGGAGAGCGCACATGCCCTATAGCAAAAATCTCTCAAAAAATATGTAATATAATAGATTCTGTAAAAAGTGTGTCTCATACCCTCTGTGGAACAAAAAGTGTGAATAAATGATAAAGCAATTACCAAAAACTTCAGGAGAAAACAAAGGGAGTCAAAAACTACAATAGAACGGGGTTGAAGAGAGTAAGGAGGAAAAAACAAGGACATTCTGTTTCATTCAGACCACTGGAAGCCTTCCCTAACCTCAGTGGGTGGTAAGAAACTCTTACTGGGGTATCTCAGCCTGGACAAAAAAGGTGGCTCAATAGAAGGGGCTCATCACGAGAGAGAATAATGAAGGCAAGGGGAAAAATAGAGTTGTAGAACAGGAAAGACCCGAATATGTTGGCTGGCAGAGGGAAGGGAGTCTGTGGAAAGAGATAGATGGCAAGAACTGAAAGAGGAAATATAATATTCGGAGCAAAGTTACAGAGTGTTTGAAAAGGAGAGCATGCAAAGGGAAAGCAGGACCTTGGAAAGGAAGGAGTTCTCTGAGAAAAGAGCTAGGAAGCCAAGACGGGATCCTGAGATGGGTAGGAAAGTGCCTGGAGCCTTGCCCAGAGGCACTGAAGGAAAAAAAATCTCAGCAAGAGACCAAAAGAATTCCAGCAGCAAGGAGAGCTTTGCTGGATTCAGGGACTGTAAGCTTGCAAAGATCTTATCAGCACATTGCAAGCGGTGGAAACCACAAGCAGCCTGGGAAGCTGAGAGGAGAAAGCAATTGTGGGAATGAAAATAGAAAGTGACTTGCCTACCCAAATACTCAGGTTGGCTGGGCTGAGACTAGTCTCAGCCAGCTTAGTGCTCTCTGACCATGCCGCCTCCTTTCTCAACCAAACTTCTCTAAGGCTGGTTAAGTCTCAAAGCTAATGGCCAGTGTTAAGGCCGCGTTATTAAAGCGATACAGTGAGATACTTTTCCTAGGATACTAAGACAATGAGTGTAGGTTTTCTGCACGTACGTCATAAACTGTGAAAGTCAGGATTAATTGACAACGAAAACCCAGAATGTCACTTACCTGGCAGCTTCCGGGAAACCCATCTTGTAGAGTGTCACGACCACAGCTCCTCCGATGCCTAAATTGTGCTGCAGAGCAACCTTTGCACCAGGAACTTGCCTCTTTCCGGCTTCCCCTCGCAGCTGCCAGCAGAGCTCAGCACACTGAGCCAGACCTGACAAATCGAACACAGAGCAGTCAGGTCTGCGGGTTTGGAAAACAACCTCCACCTGCTTTTGCAAGCCAGATAGCATCTAATCGAGACTTAATTAAAGTATTTGCTTAAGCCTAGACCATGCTTGCCTAAATAACTTTTTAAAGCACTAGAGCTTTTACAGTTACTTTTTTCCTCCAAGAAATGTCTTCTTAGACATTCTTCTTAGACAATCCAGGCTTACAAAGTCCCCCCTCCCACTTTTTACTTACATTTAAATTTATTCCACCTCTTGTTTTCTGACATGGTTACAAGATAAAACTAAATATATAATTCTCTGGCCCAGAAAAACGGCACAAAAATAACTAATTTTACCATTTTTAATGTATCAAAGGAAAATAATATAGGATTTAAGAGAGCACTTCCCCCAAGAAGTTTAGCTAATAGGGAAATTTTTATTATTTTACCCAAGTAGTTCCCAAGAAAAATGAATTGTTTTCCAGTCCTATTTGCAGCTATTCACAAGAAAAGCTCTAGATGCATGAGAATAACAATCTATCCTCTGCATAGTAAAATTAAAAATGTTTATAACTAGACAGTTCTTGATGTAAAAACCAAGAGATAAAAAGGTTCAATACTCTGGTCACAAAGCAGGCTAGCTCCAGTTTCAGATTTACGTTTGCTTGTCTTTCCATCAAACTAGTTATGTAAGGATGGCTAGGAATGGTCTATCGGGACAGATCGGTTTTATTGCACCTTCTGGTAGATCTAGCTCAGCAGGTCTACCCACCCTGTTAACTCTTCCACCTACCTGCACCCCCAGTCTGATTCCCCAGCACCTCCGACAATTTCCTATATCAGCCTCATTCTCCCCAAGAAATTTAACCGCTACTTTTCAATTTCAAGCAGTGTCTGTATGTTTACACAATACGTATCTTATACACTGTTTAAAATAGGAGCGCCACACCTTAGGATGATTTTTTTTGAATTGTGAACATTTTGACAATAAGGAAGGTTGAATTGAAATGATTCTATCATAACCAAACTTTGGAGCTATCAGTTTTACTAGAAATCTGCCTTATAAAAAGCCTAAACATTTAATGAACATAAGATAAAAAGTATTCAAACTGGTCTTATATATACAAGGATGGGGAAATGCTGTTCATTGTTCTCACAAAAGAATACTGTTTACAACTATTTCAGAAAATACTCAACCATGCCACTGACCAAATCAAACAGAAAGATAAATGTGGGAATGATCAATGCTGAGAAGACTGGTAAGAGAGCCAGCTTCATACACTACTGGTAAAAACTTTAAACCAGTACAACAATTTTGGAAAGCAACACACAGACTTAGTAAGAACCTTTAAAATGCCTTGAAAACCATTCTATAAAAACAATCCACGGACCAGCAGTTAGCATAATGGCTATGTCGCTGGACTCCCATGTAGTCAACTGCGGTTCAAGTCTCGGACCCAGTGGCTTAAACTCACGCCGGTCGCGTGTGCATGCGTGCCCAAGAACCCAAGAGGAGAATGGAGGAGAAGGGATTGCGGCGTAGCCATCCCCCCTGGGGGGTGATTTCTCGCTTTCTGTCTCTCTGTCTCTCTGTCTCTCTGTCTCTCTGGCGAGTGCACATGCCCTATAGCAAAAACCTTTTTCTTAAAAAAAAAAAAAAATCCAAAGTAGGCCAAATTTTACATCTATATCTGTTCGTCACATTATTACCAAAGTGAAAACCTAGATCATCTAGAACTGAAATAATTGGAGAATGGTTATATAAATTGTCAGATAACTATATATAAAGCGGAAGAAGTTTTCTCTCTCTATTCTCTACTCGAGATGTAACCAAGTGTGTATGTGTTGTGGGAGAGGAGTTCCCCCCCAACACCAGCAATTCTCCAGTGGGCACCAACTGGATGTCCCATAATTTGATTCAAATGTGACACTATCTACCTAGAGATAGGATCATTTTCCACAGATAAGGGGCTCAGGCCCATATGACTGATCCCACTTCAGATGCCAACTGCAATGTCGCCTGTATGTCCACTGTCATTTCTTTTTTATCCAAATTCTTAAAATTTATAATCCCTTTATTTATTTTTAATTTGCCAGAGGGCATGTGCACTTGCCAGAGAGAGACAGAGAGGAAAAGAGAGAAAGTATGGGGCGTGGTCACACTGCAATCCCTTCTCCTCCATTTCTCCTGCCTTTTGGGATTTTGGACACACACAAAGGCCTTCAGGAGTGGAACTCACCAGTCGGTCGTCTGTGTGGAATCCAGCCCCTTAACCACCAAGCCACGGGCTGGCCCATTTTATAATAACTTTAGAAGTATTGAAACACGTAAACAAACAAACAAAAAAATCGCAAGATAGAATGATATATGTCCCATGTAAAACATCAAGATTTAAAATGAAAGATAATTACATTCCACTGGGGAAACCAGAGCATTTATCATTGGAAAGGACCTAAGGGCTCATCAACAGATGAACCCTAACAGAGGAGCAATTCTCGCAGCATTCCTATCAAGCTGTTAACACCTATTTCTCATACACAGCCTCTGTGACAGGCACTGCTCTCAGGAGGCAAGCCATTCCACACCATTCCACCATTCCACTGAACAAGTGTATTCCTTCTGCCCCTGTCATCTTCCAGATGTTAAAGGAGCAATAGTGTATTTACCAACCTCTACATGTGCAAAGTCTTGTATTGGACACTGTTCAGGGTGCAGAGACAAATGAAATATAGATCCTGCCTTCACAAGCTCTTATTCAAACAGAAGTGTTAAAAAGAGAGAGAGAGAGGGTGGTTACAGGGCCTGCTGGTGGCGTGGTGGTTAAGGCAGTCGGATCCCACATGGCCAACTGCACAGTTTGAGTCTCAGACTCGGTGGCCTTGAAACTCATTCTGAACATGTATGTGTGTGTGCCCAAAATCTCGAGAGGAGAATAGAGAAGGAATTATGGTGTGGTCCTCCTCCTTGAGGAGTGATTTCTCACTTTCCCTCTTTCTCTCTCTCTGGTAAGCACATGCGCCCATAGCCAAAGCTAAAAAAAAAA